GGGGCCCCGGCCCCCCGCCAGGGACGCCGGGGCGGCAGCCATGAGGCAGGTTGTCCCGGGGCAGTTTGACGACGCGGACTGCTCCGACGGGTACGAGGCGGGGAAGTGGTGGGAGCGGTCCCGGTTTGGTCCCGGTTCTGGGGTGGGCAGGTCTGGGCAGAGCAGGTCTGGGCAACTCTTGGTTACGGCGTGGTGCTGCCTGCTGCTCCATGCTGTTGTTTCTCTTGAATTGAATAAGGTTCTCTCTTGTGTGCCCAAGCCCTTATCTTCCTGTTTTGTCAAACAGGCATTAAATGCCTTCCGAAAATCTGCTCAGGGCTGTGTTTTAGTGACAAGCGTAATAGACTGTAATCAAAAGCCCGTGTAAGTCGAAAGGGTTCAGTCTTCCTCCGAGTTCTTTCGTAGGTGTGCTTATTTATTTATTTATTTATCACGTTGTGGCCGCAGCAGAATGGTTTGGTTTCAGTGAAGGAACTGACTGACCTCATCTGGCATGATTTGTTCATCTGTCTGGAGTAGCAAGGATCTAAGTGGATGTATATAGCACAAGTTAAAACGTGGCACTGAAGTGAAGTGGTGAATAAGATCATTTAAATGTAGCCCATCCTTTAAAGATAGTGATATTTTCCTATATACCTACTTAAAGAGAGATGAAGTGATAAATACCTGGATGACTGTAGCGAGCATTTGGAGTTATATAAATGTCTGCGTTTGTTTGAAGTGAACTTACCCAGGATACAGAAACAACTGAAGAAGGTGAAGTATCCAAGAATTACCAGTCATGTTTGTGTGAAGAGATTAACTCTGAGGATGGAGATGATCATTACAACGATGAAGAGGAAGACGAAGATGAAGACTGGGACTGGGATGATGAGATGGGAAGACTGATGAAGTGCCACAATACTGCTGTGAGATGCAATCCACAGGTAAGTTGAAGGCTGTTCTGTGAGCATCAAGGGTGCCCAAGAGTAAGTGGAACTAGCCCTAAGGCCTTTTCAGTGTTAATATTATGCTAAACAAAAATCCAAATAGACCTTTCTCCTCTGGTGGATCCCCTTTTTTTGAGTCTCTCTCTCTGGCACATGCCAAATGTAAAGGTGCAGGACTCCTCTTGATTTTCTTAACCCAAGTTCTGTTGCTGCATCCTCCTTTTTACTACATTTCATCTTCCATTTTTAAGCCTTCTTAACCTTTTTTACTTTGCCTACCCTCACCTTAGTGCTATTGATTCCTTTTTACTGTTGGTTCTGTGTTTTTGTGCATCAGAAATGCAGTACCTGCTTATTTCATTCTTTATATAACAAGTGGTGGTTTGAACTAATAGTGGAGGAGGTGAAAGAATGTCTAGGAGATGGAGGGATATGCTAGAAATAGTTGAATTTAGGGTGAACACTGTTGGATTAGAAACATTTGGTTTGCTGCAGATTGAAAAGTACAGAAAGTGTCAGAGCTAGCATCCTTACTCTCAGCTTGGACAATGAAGGTTGAAAATCTTTTCTTGTTGATCAGTACAACAGAGCAGTTGTGATAGTGTGCTGTTCATCGTTCAGTTTGTCTGATTACAATGCTTGTTTTGGGTGATTTATCCTTTTGATAAGGAGTTTATGTTGTCTAATATTGATGAAAATGGATTTTAACTAAGGTGACCAATAAGAAAATAGCCTTGGAAGGTCTTGTTCGTTCATTTCCTTCTGCGTTTTTTTTTTTCTGCTATTTCTGTTCCTTTTAGGGATAAAAATGTGTCAATATAAATATAAGAGACTTGCAGAATGATTGCCCAACTAAAAATAACCCTGTTCTGACTTATTTTTGTTTTCTTCTCTAGTGAAATAAAATCTGATGCTAATCCATATCTGTTTCTTTACTCTTTTTGATTTTGTGTATATAAAACTCTAGGCATAAGCATTTGACCTGACTTTTCCCGTGAACCTATCTGTATTTCAAGGACTATTCAGAACAGGCAAGTTAAATTAATAAATCTTTTGTTTCAGGCAAATAGGCAGACTCCTAGTTGCAACGCAGCAAAAATGTCTACCCCTACAGACAAGGCTTTAAGGAAATTTGAACATAAAATTAATTTAGGTGAGTATAATTGTGTTGTCTCCTTTTATGATAATAGATACACTTCTGTGATGTTATTAGACTAATTCTGCTTGCTTTAAGTCAGAACTTGTTGGAGGGGCGTGGCAGTTATCTGTTGTCAGGCAGATTGACAAGGGCTCTTTCAGTTGCCTGTACTCTTCATTTAAGCAGCTATCATACACCCTTAAGAGCTGGGGCTGAAGAGCCTTTTTTTTTTTTTTTTTTTTCCTGGCCTCTCCAGATCACACAGAACGCTTCCCTAGCTTCTGTGTAGGAGTAAGTTGCCTGGCTCATGGGAGGGTATCGTTTCTCTGCTGGAATGTCTTTGGCTATTCTCAAACTTGTTAAATTTCCTGGTAAACTGTAATTTCCTGCAGTATTTTTGTGGCACCTTGTACAACAGTTCTCATATGACTTTCTGCTACAGGTGGAGAGGCCTTTGTCCTAGTCTGTGTAGGGTGGTGCTTATGATATTGTGGAAACAACTCTTCTGCTCAACCTAGAGCTAGATGCAGCCGTGGCTGCTTTATTTCTTCTATTTAGAGTATTAAAAAGACTTTGTTCTATTTTCCTTTATAACTAAGGCGATCTCAAATGAAGGACAAGGCTCAAAAGGGCAGTGCTGGAATGTGTAGCAAAATGCAACAGCTTTTAAACACTTAGCAATTAACAAACACTATTTAAATACACTGTGGGTAGACAATCCTGAGACTGTTGCTTTTTCTGTTCGGAAAAATGACATTATACTGGGGAAGAGAAGGACAGATAAATTTAACAGTAAGATGTTATCCAAGAGGCTGTTTCTTTCTCATCCTCTCTGGATGGCATTGCATCTTCAAGTCTTCTGTGGGGCTGTGTCAGTCATCTGTGTTGTTATTACTGTCCTACTTTAAAATATAGACAGAGTGGAAAAATGAAGATAACTGATGCTTTTATGGTACTTGCTTTAAGTACCACTGTGGTTTGTTATAGAGAGATCAAGTGTGTTTGTACACTGTATTATGGCATATTGACTGACAGCAGAATTGAAGATGCAGTTCTGAACATAGGAAACTTATTTGCTTTTTGTTTCTTTTTTAATTTTTTTCTTATGTGTTTTTCAGATAAGCTGAATTTTGATGATTCCGTTATAAACCGAGTCACAGAAAAGTCTAGACAAAAAGAAGCAGACCTGTGAGTTATAAGATTGGCTCTATTTTCATTGACCTAATTTGACCCCAGAGTTCTTTGTGAAAGTTCTTATTTCCTAACTTGATCCAGAGTTTTGAATAAATTTATTAAGAAAAAAAAATCTGTAAATATTCTATATGTAGTTTGCATTCTGGTTTTAAAAATTCCTGTTTTCTGAATCTGTCGCATGACTCCTTGCCAAATGTTGATCCTTCTATCTACTGCAGTTGATAGCAAATCTAATTGCTGTTGGTGTAGTCATGTAGAAGTTAACTGCTGTTAGTTCTAGTAGCAAAAGGCTATTTTTGATTTGTTCCTCTCTGAAACAGAGGTCCTTGAGTAATTGAGCTAGAAAAAAAATACTGGAAACCTGATGGAGGTGCCTGCTGCTGATTCTGTGAGGAAAGGCTTCCCTGTGTCCCTGGCAAGGCTGCTGCTTATAGCTGTAACTTGTTAAGACAGCATTTTCTCACAAGTGAGCTTATTTCATGGGAGGCAAGAAGATATCTGTAATAGTGAAGAGCACTGATGTTGGACTGTTTTTTTTTTTTTTTTTTTTTCCCTCCCCCTCCTGCCTGCAGGATAAATGTTTGCTTTGTAAGGATTGAAAGTCTTGGTTTTTTGAGGCTGTTTTCTTCTCTTTGCATTCTAATGTCATGCTTTATTCTGTCAAAATATTGAGCCCCTGTATGGGATTGTATCATTTTTATTTTCATTTCTGCTAGGTATCGAGTCAAGGATAAGTCAGATAGAGCAACAGTAGAACAGGTAAGTCCTTACTGTATCAAATATTTCTGTTCTAACTGTAACCAATAACCTGGAATTTTGGAGCTGATGACAAAGCTCTGTAGAACTACTGTAGGACAGGATTTCATCTTGGAATTCTTTTTCCTTTGGTATGCTAAAGAAATGGGAATTCTCTTCGTAACATTTTATCGAACTCCAAGAAACAATGTAATATTCTGTGTTTGCCTGTTTAGTGTTTTGGTTTCGGTTTTGTTTTCGCTTAGGTAAGACTGAACTATTGCTGGGCTAGGGCCACATGGTTGCTGTATTTCATTTTATGATAACTGTGCTTTGAAGGACAGCTTATTAAAATACATTCAATGCAACTGTGGATGGATCATTCTCTCATTCACGTCCTTCAGCTAGCTCTAAAATGCTAACATTATTAAAAATATATATATAGTGAAAGAAAAGATGAGGCAATGTTGTAGAATCATGGTAGAATACTGAATGGCTGCTCTTTGAATTATCATTTAATTATTCAAAATAGTCTAATATTGAAGTCCCTTTAATGCAGTACTAATAATAGGCTGTAGAAGTAAGTTTTGCCCTCCTCAGGAGAGCAATTCTGCTAACTTTTCCATATTAACCTTGAGGTATTGGATCCAAGAACTCGAATGATTCTGTTCAAGATGCTAACTAGAGGCGTCATATCAGAAATCAATGGCTGCATCAGCACAGGGAAAGAAGTAAGTTGCATTATGCTTAATGTGATGTAGTCTTTTTCTCAACAAGATAGGTAGACACTTATAGTGCTCAGAGATACATTGAAATTCTTGGTTCTCATATTGTTTTTGTGTGTCATTTGACTAGTGCAAAGTCACCTTATGATAAAATGCAGCTTAATTAAAGGAAGTTGGTTTTCCTGGCTGTGAAAAAAATTCTGAAAACATTTAATTTAAATTTGTCTTTCTCGTTACTTCTGTGTTATAACTGAAACTTATAACACAATATAAGTTGTGTAAACACAATATAAAACAGTGTCTGAAAAACAAACCTAGCTAAATGTTTATTCAGCAAGACTGTTCTCATGCATGCAGATCAGACCCATTCCACATCTCCAGAGATGGGAATGCCTGAACGGCTTAGCAAAATACTGGTTAAAATGCTATTAAACCTTTGTTGCCTTTACAAAATTGACATGTTTGTGTAGTGTTATCACCACGTAATATTGCTATTGATTAAAACCAAATCAAGTAGATTAGCAAGTTAGAAAAGTCAAATCAGCCTAGAGACCACGCGATCTAAAACTGAGTCCTTGGATGTTGATTTAGAGTGTAATTCCATGCTGTGTGGTGGTGTCACCATGGGGCATTTGGGTCATGTTTTAGGGCCTAAATAGTTGACAGATCTCAGATTAACTGTTTACACAAGGTGTTGTTTCAGTCTCAAAATGTGGATGATGTGGAGTTTTGTTGTGTGCATTAATACCCCTACCCAGTCTTAAACACTTCCTGTAAGTTGCTTCTTACAGAGGCAGCTCTCCCTTGTGCACAATTGCACTAGCTCACCTGAGCACTGCAGAGGGGCTAAGGTGAAAAAACCTATCCTCTCTGCCTGACATCCTGGAAAACGTCTTGGGGAGGTGGAACAAGAATTTGAGTTTACTGTAAAGAACTCTTCCTTTAAATGTTATTTCTTCCCTGTGTAATCCAATAGGCTAATGTATATCATGCCAGTACTGCAAATGGAGAAAACAGAGCAATAAAGATTTACAAAACTTCTATTCTGACGTTTAAAGATCGGGACAAGTATGTGAGTGGTGAATTCAGGTGAGCTGGAGTTCTGTATGATTTTAATGAAAAGTAAGTTTTGTTTGAATGGTGATAAAGTAATTGTTGCTAATACTGCATATGCTAAGTAGTGTGGTTTGTGCTTCTTTTAAAAAAAGATTTCGTCATGGATATTGCAAAGGCAACCCAAGAAAAATGGTGAAGACGTGGGCTGAAAAAGAAATGAGGAATTTAATAAGGTGATTCTTTCAGTTTTTATATCAGTATGCAAACTGAAACTTATTTCTGTTAATGAAACTCATATTTCTAGGAGATATCTTCTGTTGTTACGTACTGGTTCACTATCTCTTTTGATCTCTGGAGTATTCCAGAAAGTGTTTTAAGCTTACCTGAGGAAGGGAGGAGAAAGGGGAGAGGAAAGAAGAATAAAGCAGTTCCTTTTTCTTACTGTTCATGCTGTTAAGTTCAACATCTGAATTCTAACTTGACGAAAAAGTGGGAAAAAGACAGAAATAGCTGCTGCTGAGTCGCAGCAGTGTGTATTTGTGTGATACAGGTTAATCTAGGATTAACCTAAACTGTGTAAACATTCTTTGTCTGACAGAAGGATGTTTAGAAAGGGGTTGGAGCAGGATGGCTCTGTGGTGAGTTTTTTTTTTTTTTTTTTTTTAAAAAAAAAAATCTCCTAGTTGTTTTCACAGGGATGAGTATTCTTTGTAAAAGAGCTCTTCGACTCTGTTTTAACTCTGTTACGATGCTTAAGGCAAGAGTTTCTGTAGGCTCTATTGCTATGCAAATAGTAGAGTTGGTTTGTTTTTATTTTTTGTGGTTTTCTTCTTATTACAGGTTGACTACAGCTCAAATACCTTGCCCAGAGCCAGTTATGCTAAGAAGTCATGTGCTTGTCATGGGCTTTATTGGTAAAGGTGATATGTAAGTATCCTTAGAAAATCAAAACAATTATTAAAAATAAGTGAACCCACTGAGTTTAGCTACTATTATTTTAGGGCTCTAAAATTAGTATATTACTCCTACCTGTGTGTGTGACTTGTAGAATACCCAAATCTTTGCCAACTACCTCTGTAGAGAGTCTACCTGATTTTGAAGCCATAGCTGTTTTCAAAATGAAGTCCTGAAGTGATTTAACCAGAGAATATAGATGGAAAGGCTGGCTAATAATATGAGAAGGTAACTCTGCATTAGTGTAGGATAGTGCAGTGTCTTAGTTTGCTTTGGAAGTGGCGCTTCCTGTATCTCTGGCAAGCAGGTACCGAGTTTTGCTGCCTTACAGGTTGATTCCTTGCACTTTGCTCAAGTCACTCGGGGTGGGCTTTCCACATCCAGAACAGAATGGTCAAGCATTTACAGCAGGCAAGAAGGGAAAAGTACTCACTTTGTCTTATGTGTGTGGAAATTTCAAGGCCTGCTCCTCTGCTGAAGAACGCTCAGTTGTCTGACTCAAAAGTCCGGGAGCTCTACCTGCAAATCATCCAGTACATGAGAAGAATGTATCAAGATGCCAGGCTCGTTCATGCAGATCTCAGTGAATTTAATATGCTGTATGTTTTTGACCTTTGTTCTTAACTGTACCATCTAAAATATATTTGTTGACAGCTCATTTAAAGTACTAATCTATATTTGAGGGAGAGGGAGTGCGCTTTTCAGAATGGCTTTTCAGTTCATCTACTTAATTATGTAGCTCTTTGCTCTGAAAGTTCTATAAAAACTAATTAATAAGAAACTAAAACTAACTAATGAAAATCTCAGCAAGATATATATAATATGTACTTATATACAATTATGTACATATTGTATATGTATATAATATATATGCATGCACATTTTTTTTCCTCCTCCTCTCTTAACTCCCCCCATCTTCAGCATTGCTTTTTGTGTTTCTTTAAAGTTTACTAATAGAGGCTGGGTGGAGGAGGGAAGGGATTGCTCGCGCCGCCAACCCCTCCCAAAAAACCCCACACCTCTCTGGCTCTAAGATATGTGCTAGAAAAGGAGGTTAGGCTGGCAGTGTGGTGTTCACGCACCTCCTGACGCTGCTTGCGAGCGCGGCTGTGGCGTGTGCCCGCAGGTACCACGGCGGCGCGGCGCACATCATCGACGTGTCGCAGGCGGTGGAGCACGACCACCCGCACGCGCTGGAGTTCCTGCGCAAGGACTGCGCCAACGTGAACGGTGCGTGCGCTGCCGCTCGGCCCTGCTCTCCAGGGCTTCCGTGCTGAGGAAGGTGAACTCTGCTCTTCCTTAAGTTCTTTCAGCTGTGATGCTTGCCTGCCTGTCAAAGCTGTCAAACTTGAATCCAAATGTCCCCTCTCCTAGCTTCTTGTGGCTTTCTCGGGGAGCTGTTGACTGTGCTGAGCTCAGAAGTCTGTGCATCCTATTTTACTAGAAATTACCCGACTGAAGTGAGTCACATGGCTGAATTTCATATTTGCAATAGAAAGAGGATCCGAGTCTGAACTCGGAGCAGTGCTCACAGCCATCTTAGCTGCCATTATTTTAAGGAGTGTGCAGACATACTGGTCCGTTTCCTTCTGTATGTGGAACCTACAACTGGAATTTTCAATTGGCAAGTTACTAATTGTAACAAAGTTCCCTGCACTGGTCCAACTCGGCTTAGAAGATCAAGGCATTATGTAACTTAATAGAAAAGCATCACTTATAGTATTTATAAGTATGACTTTACATTTTGATCAGCAATGTACATCTGTAGTATTTTTCTCTTAAAGAGTTGGTCTTAATGTAGTATATAAGAGTATGTGTAACAGATGAGTCTTCCACTAGGCTCTGCTCCTCTCAGGACAGTAGTGTGTTGCTGCAATCTGCTTTTTTTTCCGCCTCTTTTCCATTCTTTTTTTTCCTTTCTTTAGGAGATACCTGAAAGTCTGTGAAACAGATGTGCTTTACATTTTGATTCTGTGTTTTTGTTGATACCCAGTATCCTAGCTGTTTCTTATTCTTCCGTTCAGGAATTTCTGGTTAATTCTTTTGGATCGCATGCTTGTGAGGTTTTGCGAGGGGAAGTGTGTTGCCTTTTTTTGTGTGTGTGTGTGTGTGTGTGTGTGTGTGTGTGTGTGTGTGTGTGTGTGTGTGTGTGTGTGTGTGTGTGTGTGTGTGTGGTGGAGGGAGGTTCTCTTGGTGTGATCTCCTTAATTGCTGGTGACCTCGGGAGTCCAATTCCTCACCCTCCTCCCTTCCATTCCTCCCCCCTCACCAGTTTTCACTGTATAATCCTACTACAGGGACTGGGAAGAAATGCCCAGCCTTATGTTCTCTGCAAAAGTGCAGCCTCCAAATGTAATTATATTTGCCTTAAAAAAAAAAAAAAAAAAAAAAAAACTTCCGAGCATAATATTGAGAAAATGCTAGTATGTTATTGTGCCCCATATGTCTTTTTATTAAGGCGGATCATAATTGGTCTGTACAGTGTTTCAATGGATACTTCTCAGTTTCTTTGACAAAAGTTTGAGGTTTACATACCTTATTATTTGAAATAGTCATGTTTTGAGCTTGGCAAATACTGCACCAGTCTGAAACTATCTACTTTTTCCTTCTTGATCTGTGCTCCATGCAGTCTGACTCCTGAGGAGGTTGATTTGCTTTGAGGCTTGACCAGTTTCCATTATTCCAGATATGTTGCAGCTGGCCATTTATTTTAGATGGCCAAGAGTGCCTTTATTTAAAACAAAACAAACAAAACAAACTCAGTAGAATGCAGTAGTGCAGTTGAGACTTTTCCAAGTCGTCAGGGCAGTTATTTTGCTGTAACTGTCACTTTCACATAACAGTTGTGTTGTACGATGACTTTTTTTGGGGTTTCTTACAGACTTTTTTCAAAAGCGCAATGTTGCGGTGATGACAGTGAGGGAGTTGTTTGAGTTTATTACTGATCCTTCTATTACAAGTGAGAACCTGGATGATTATCTCTCTAAGGTAAGACCTCAAGGCCTCGCGGCTCGTTAAAAGTGTGAACAAAATAATAATGTTTGGTTCCAACTTCTCTCTTGCTTTGCAGCCTGCTCTTTAAGTGGGCTTGTAACTGATATTGTCATGCCAGCACTTCAAGCATATATGTGGATCTTTTATGTGCCCTTATAGGATGTACCGTTATGTGGTACATGTGTACCGTTAGAAGATGAACACATTTTCATTCTGTTTTCTGAGGTCTAATTGCTCAAACTCAGATGTCAAGAGCTACTTGCAGTAAAATGGGATGCTTTAAATTATTTTTCCTTCTTGAAAAGAAGAGGGGAGCTTATTTACTCAGCAAATACCTGGCAGGAGTATGACAGTATTTATATAAAGAAAGGAATTAAGAATGTGGACTTAAGCAGGGAGAAATTGGGGAAGGAAGTGAATGATTCAAGGTAATATTACTCCAAAACCCACACTTTTACTAGCCAAATGTGCTGACTGGTGGGACATACTGCCTCCAGGAGGAGGTAAATGTAGTGCATCTTTTCTAGGTGCTTCAATTTAGATGAAAAAACAGCTCTTCTGGTTGAAGCAACTAGTTGAAGAAATGGGAAGGAGCCAAATCTAGGCCATGCAACCTAGGCATGGTATGCAGTGGAGATAGGATGTGTACATATTTCTGGCCAAGGGCATGAGGCAGAGTCTGAATGCTGTCCAGATACCTGTGTGGCATGGGTGTTTCTGATGTTAGGTGCTTCTGCCAGGACTGGAGGCTGAGTGAAGCAGGACTGGGCTCCACGGTTGGTTCGGCTCGCTTGTGCCCCCCTGGATCACTCAATGTGTGGCAGTGGGGAAAACAAAGCCCAGTACTGGGGCACTGCTCACTTTGTTCCTTGTGCTGTTACTTCCTGTGCTCATGCTGGGCCTGCAGGACTTGCTGGGGAAGGATCTGGGCATGGGTTCTTGCAGCATTAGCAAGGGGAATCTGCAGTCACAGGGATGGGCCCTGCAGAAGGGCCGGGAACCGTTAGGTGTCGCTGAGGGCGCTGCTGTGAGGAGCGTGGTGGCGTTTCCAGTGTCCCGAGTAGAGGACAGGGAGATACAAAGATGCGAATGGTTGGTTGGATTAAAGATTCTGCAGCATGATAATAATGTTATATTGCTTTACGTTTCCTTAGGCAATGGAAATCGCATCCAAAAGAACAGAGGAGGAAAGATCCAGTCAAGATAAAGTGGATGAGGAAGTAAGTGAGGAGTTTTGTTCCTCCTGTGAAATTAATATTAATCTCACCTCTTCTAAGCAGTGAAAAATATTCTTTAATTGGAAATAAATACAGATGATAAAACATAGTGTTTATGATACTGGTATGTCCTGCACTAGTTGAAAAGACAAAATATTGAGGGGTGGTGTTTTTGAAAGGTGAAGTGACAATGAGCAGAAATTGGAAGGCAGACACTGTTCTCTGTAAACCAATGTACTTGCTTGTCACTTAACATGTCTTCCAGTTCAGGATCAGCTTAGAAGCAAAGCAATAAAGATGTGATTGTGCCAATGTGATTAAACCAATAATACAGCATTGGAAAAATTCATGGGATAGTCAGTGTGCACTGACCAAATTGCCTAACTATCTCTCTTCTCAGTCTAAATCAGTTCTTCTATTTACAATTACTCTACCTTGCTTTTGCATGCAGGAGGAAACCATCACAAATCTGTTCTGTTTGCATTACTGAAAACTGCTAGCGTTCTGGAAGGTTTCTTTTGAGTCATAATCTTAAGTTGGTGTTCCAGATAAGTTTTTAAATATTTCATCTCGAGTGGAATTTTTATCAGTGGGAACGTACTCATGTTAATTCATCAGGCATTTATTGTTGGAGTCAACACTGCTTGATTTAATAAAGACTTTTATTTTGCTCTTGGAGGTCTGCAGGTTTTACTGACTGCTATTGGCTCGAGCTTGGCAAAGAACAGACTTTTGATTCCTAAGAGCTCCTGAGAATAGATGCCCCCCTGAAGTATAGGACCAGAGGTTGCTCTTTTGTTCCATGCCCACCTTTTTCAAACACATTATTCTCAGAAGCAGAGCCAGAGCCTTTATCTATGAAAAGGTATTGATTGTCCTGTGAGATGGATGGTTTAGTACCGTCTGAGTTGAGTTTCCTGCTCTCACAGACTTCCCATGTGACCTCAGGCTAGTTGTGACACTTTCTGTCTCACAAAAGAGTGGAGCTAATTAAATGCAAGCTCTGTGGAAATAGGGTCTTTGCTTCTTGTGCATTACTTGGTCTAGTACTTGGTCAAGTGTATTTTTAGTCAGGTTACTGGACTGATTTAGAAGCAGTGGACTCCATGTAAAGTGAAAATGCATCTGATCTGTTAGTGACTTCAGTTTGCTGGAGTACAGTCTCCAGAGATCACATTCCAAACCTGAAGTAACATGTTGATGGTGGTTAGCTTTTACCTTACTGCTGCAGGAACCCTCTGTGTGTTGGACTATATATCAACAGAGAGATTTTTTTTGTATAAATATTAAGCTGAAAAATGCAATTTTAATGGAGTTCCTTCCTGAAGGCATTATAAGCCACACAATACAAATATAAAAAAAAGATAGAATACAAAACATTAACTTGAATCACTTAAGAGGAAAGTGAAAGGATTGGAGTTTGCAAGTAAGTGGGCTGCTGCTGATAATAATAATGAGTAAGCCTTATTATTAGTGATGAGCTATCAAGAATGTGTAAGCAGACTAGTTTTAGTCTGCTCCAGAAAAAAGATATTCTTCAATGAAAATGGTAATGGGTTACTGCCTTATTCTTTTTGAGTTTTTTGGAGCCATGAAACCTCATGATTATTCTTCTGAAGAGGCATAATTAGGAAGGAAGAACATCATGAAACTATATATAAATTAACGAATATACTTGTTTCCTTTCACTCTACTAGGTTTTTAAGAAGGCTTACATACCTCGAACGTTGACTGAAGTTAAAAACTATGAAAGAGATGTGGATATAATGATGAAATTG